GTCGCATTCTGATTTCCAATGCTTTGTACCATCTGCGGATATGTCCATTACACATTCATCTAGCCCACGGTCATTTTGTTCGCCTCCTTTCAAGCACAAACACAACCCATTACATTAATCACGCACAGATTTGAATTAATGACTGTGTGCATTACTTTAAAACACACATATTTGTTCGTGAATGCACACAGTAACCAATACTACGAATCCATCACGTTATTCGCGTTACATTTCTACATGCACACAGTTCTGTGTGGGTGTGCACATTGTCGTCCATGTTGTTATGTGTGAATAAAAGCATCTAAGTGTGTGCACGACTAGTTCGTGTGTTGCGTTTGTTTGCTTAATTAATAGTGTGTACCCTTATATTTGACCCACAATCAAAGACCTATAGTTCTTTATCCTTGCCCCTCATCTGTGCCAGTTTCTGATAAACAAACTCATGTTCTAATGAAATCACACGTGCACATAGCTTATCGCATTTGTGCACACACAACACCATATGTGCACATTTGTGCACTTACGACAACTGATATGTGCACTGATATTATTCCAACAATTTGTATTCTCCATTAAACCTTATACTGTGCCGCTCTAACATACCAAAAAAACTCAGCATATTCAAACCCTTATACTGAAAATGCACACACTACCCAAAACCAAAGTTTTCCCCCACCATAAAAATTACCAATGCGTATACAGTAATCTAAATGTCTACAAATTCACTCATGTGTATTCACAGAATGCCGATTAACAAGTCGAATGCATTACCTGGGTCATGTATCTCCATGTACGTAGAATTGGTTTCCTTCTCTTCTCGCCTCTTGGCAATGTTCAAATCCCGTCTCTGCAAGTGCTTCGCGATGGAAGGGACGAAGACAATTCCTACCGCAATTAGTCTTCCTAATTTCTTGCGTAATCTCAATATAAAATCTAATCCATAGTTAAATTGTCAATGATTTGGCATAATTACCCTTTTTCCCACTAAAACATAATCTTTATTTAATTAAAATCCCTTAATCTAATCCATCCATCTGCACACATCCTATGGCTAGATTTTGTCCTCATGTTTGTATTTTAAGGGCGTTTGCATGTTATATATATATATATATATATATATATATATATATATATATATATATATATATATATATATTTATATATTTATTTATTTATTTATTTATTTATTTATTTATTTATTTATTTATGGCTCGCGAGCGGCTCGACAAGTCACGAGCCTAGAATATTTGAGCTCGAGCTCGGCTCGTTTACTAATTGAGCCGCTCGAGTTCGGCTCGAGCTCGATTTTGACTGAGCTCGAGCCAAGCTTTGACCGAGCAGCTCGCAAACCGCTCGCGAGCCGCTCAGCTCATTTACACCCCTATTTGCATTCATAATAAATTGCATCCAAAAGTAACTTTGCGCTCAAAAACGCTTTTGGAGTATATATATATGCTTCTTGGCCATGAATTAATTTTTCGGGTGCTTCAGGCATAAACTAATTTATTGGATGCTTCAAGCATGAGCTAACTTCTTAGATGCTTCATGCTTCAAGCATGAACTAACGTTTTCAGCCATGAATATATTTTCATACATTGTTCAAAACATTATCATGACACCAATCATTTCTTCATCAAATACCTCATCATTTATCACATTATTTGATTCACGCAAACTAGAGTCATCAAGAAGACTCATTATTCAATGACCAAATGCTTTGGTGTGCGGCACGTAGAGACAAATGCCCTTCACACCCATATTGGTAGCAAGCGTGCTTCTGGCTAGAATTTTGCTTCGATGAATTTGGTCATCTTTGATTATATCTTGATCACTTTGCTTCTTATTTTGAGCTCGAAACTCATACCACACCGGTTATAATTTTGACCGCATCCCCTTATAAAGTTGGTCAACTGGGTAACATTATGTGCTTCAGGCACCTGTGCAAAATCTACCAGACATGCATTTTGATTCTTTATCAACAACTAGTTATGTTTCTTAAGCCACAAGGAGTGCTAAAATCAGCTTTGGATGCTTGTCATAATTTGTTGTCTTGTACTACTACTGGAGTACAAATTACTCGCATGAAAAGTTGGCAATGTCTTTCCAATTAAATATTTCTCGGAAACTTCTTGTTTAGACTTTCACTTGCGAGACTATTTTGTGCATAGCTGAATTATAGTTAATCACTGACTTACATTATAATCTCAAAATTAAACATGAAATTAAACTAGTCAAAATGTGTCTGAGGAAGGACAATAGATGACTACTAGTCAAAATGGTCCTTTAGGGACTTCCATAATGCAATAGGGACTTTTTTCAATCAAATACTCATTTTTAAGATCATGGTTCAAGTAATGACATATGAAAATGAGAGCTTGTGCCTTCTAGGCATCGGTGCTCTATGACTTAGCAACAAAAAACTTGGCTCAATTCTTTAGATGCCGAATATATTTCAATATCAAGAGCCCAAGCTAAATAGTTGCTTCATTCATAAGTGAGTCAATAAATTCACATTTGGCAAATGGAAGACGTAATATACAAAACATATATCATATGTTCTCATGTACATTCATAATATCACATGTTCATAGCAAAAATAAAGAATTTGACATCTTCTAGATGCAAATCAAACTTTTAGAGATGAAGTCGAAAGGTAAAGTCTGAAAGAACAAATTAACCTTTCGGAAACACACAAGAGACAATAAAAATGACCTTTCGAGTATTCAACCTTTCGGCAGAAAACAAAATATCCTTTCAGATCCATGCAAGGAAAACATAATTTTTCCATTTTACGTTTTGAAGCATTGTAACCTTTTGAATACCATGCTCATATTGCAGCAATATATATAACAAAAATATTTATGTAAATTTAACAAGAACATCTATGCAGTTTGATATGAATGTTCTTATGTGTAGCATATGTTATCAATATGGTGTACATACATTGTATATACGAAAAATCACTTCTATTTACACAAACAAATATATCACATGCTTTCTTCCGATTCAAAAAATCAAAATAAAATCGGAAATCCATATTCAAGAATTTGCAATCATATATACGAATCATATGAACATGTGCAATATAAAACCATGTATTATATGAATCCTATGAACATGCTTGCCTAATATAAAAACATGTATTGTAACAGATTCAGGCATACCGTTCACCGAAGATTACGATAAAGACTCGTGCTGATAACATGTTGTAATTTGGCCTATCAATTAGCTTAGTTCTCACGTGATGATTGTTCGGTAATTGCCCGGAGTTTTTATATATAATTTTATAAAGTGTAGAGAAGTAAGAAGAGTAGAAGGACGCAAGATGTAGAGCACAAACATAAGATCTCCATTTCATTAAGCCTTCACATGTATTTATACTAATCCATACAACCCTTCATATGCTTAACATAAACAATATATTAAGTAGAAGGCAAATGGAGAGTCTCAAGATTAATGGCCATTAATAAAATATTTATAACAGATGGCATTATATATTGTAATTTTGTGTAAGTTATTTTTTTTCTTTGGGTGCATTATTTTTTTCCTTCTTCTACTGTATATTTTTGTCTCTTCGAGTGTATAGTTTTCTTTCTTTGAATGCACAATTTTGGCCTTCAAGTGCACAATTTTATGCCTTAGAGTGCACAATTTTGTGCCTTTGAGTGCACACTTTTGGAGTAGTGCAAACTTCAGGAACACATTATGTTTTACATTTCATTCTCCTCGTGAAAAGCTCATCTATGATTTGGGTTGAAAATCCTGTATTAGTTTGAAATTAAAGACCAACATAAAGATTAGTAAATGTCATTAAGGTTGACATACTAACAAGACACTGTTTATTAAATCTTTTACTTTCTTTTAATAACGCAATTAAATTTCTAATGAAATTTGTAGATGTACAAAGGATTTGTGAGGGTAATTGCATAAAAAACACTTAAGTTGAATAACACTCTTTTTGACACCATAATTGCTTCCGTTGCACATATCATTAAACATCCCGTGCACATTTTTTGTGCCTTAGAGTGCACTTTTTTGTGGATTCGAACTGTAATTTATTTTAAGAGAGCAATAAATCTGGACTAAATAAATGGCTAACATTTATGCACTTTCAACTAGGAACTCATTTGCACCTTATCCAAACCATATATATATATATATATATATATATATATATATATATATATATATATATATATATATTACAGATCAAATGCAGACTGTGCGCTCAGGTGCGAACGTGGGGTGAGATGAGAGCTATTGATTTTGCCAAGATCAACGTCCAGGATTAACAAGGATTAAACAAAACGCAGTGGCAATATGGTCTTTTGGCGTTTAGGTCAAACTTAAGGTGTGTGGTCTTTGTGCATAAGGTGCGTGGTTTCTGTGATGTGTGCAAAAGGTGCGTAATTTTTTGAAACTTAAGTGGATCGGTCTAAAGCTTTAGGTACGTGGTTTTCTCTCTTAAGTTGCGTGGTCTGTGTGCTTAAGGTGCGTCAGTTGTTGAAACTTAAGGTACGTTGGCCTAAAGCTTTAGGTGCGTGGTTTTCCTTCTTAAGATGCGTTATTTTCCTTTTTAAGGTACGTCGGTCTAAAGCTTTTGGTGCGTGATTTTCCTTTTTAAGGTGCGTTGTTTTCCTTCCTAAGGTGCTTTGTTTTCCTTCTTAGGGTGCTTTGTTTTTTCTTCTTAAGGTGCGTTGTTTTCCTTCTTAAGGTGCGTTGTTTTTCTTCTTAATGTGCGCCATTTTTTATAGTTTGCTTCTTTAATTGAGGACGTGCCTTTTATTTTAATTTTTTTTACTATCCCAAAACACAACCACTATCCTTTTTCCAATCACTACTTGTTTTTCGTATCAACTTATTCATAACTTATTCATAAGCAACAACAAAATAAATAAATAAATAATACAATAGAGAATCAAAAGTAGATGCAACTAGTAAATCCTCTAATAAATTATAAAGTTGAGGATGAGATTTTAGTTTTTACTAAATAATTGATAATTGATTAAACAATGACCTCAGTTAACAAACATTCTCTATATTTGACTTTCAAACCTTCCTCACCATCTGAATGAATAATGTCACAACATTCACATCTGTCCATCTGAAACAATAACACCAAAGTACCAAAATATTAGATAATGTTGGATCGTGAGTGTATATGTGTGCATGTTATCGAATGTATATGTAAATAAAGAGGGCAAGAAGGTGAGCGACCTCAGTTAACAGAAGTTCTCTATATTTGACTTTCAAACCTTCTTACTGGTTTCCTTTTTCGATATGAGTCGCCTTCTTGAAGAAGAAAAAGGCGACCATTGCTTTCTTTATAGACATAGGGTTAAAAAAAAGTAATAGATTATTTACAAGAGTAATACTATTCATTCTTTAAAATTTTGTCCCTCATAATTTCTCTCCTAAGTCCTGACATGGCACTGTTTGATTGATTATTTTACTTTTTCATTAAAATTTTGGTTTTGGTTGGTCAGTTAATTCAAAGCATCCAATAATGATTGGAAAATAATAATAAATCTATAGCTACATAAAGGCTCTGTTTGGCAGAGCTTATAGCTTATTTTAAGTTACTAATAAGCTATAAGCTCTGTTTCGTAATGTTCCCAAAATAAGCTTCTAGCTTAAAATAAGAGCTTATTTTGGAACGCTACCTAGCGTTTCAAAATAAGCTCCTAACTTTCTAACTTTTTTTCCATCTTTATCCTTATTATTTTAAAGAAATGACATAATATACCCTTCCCAATTAAAACTATTTTTCCTTCTCTTTTATCCGCAACTTTCACCGCAATTATTATTATTATTATTATTATTATTATTATTATTATTATTATTATTATTATTATTATTATTATTATTATTATTGTTGTTGTTGTTGTTGTTGTTGTTGTTGTTATTGTTGTTGTTGTTATGAGATTTGCAACAATATTGGTATTTCATTATGAGATGCTAGATCATGATTATGCTAATAGTTTTATTTTAAAATGTTAATTTTTTTAAAAGATAAAATGTTAAATTTTAATATGTAAACAAACTAATTTAAATTTTATGAAGATGTCCTTTTTAGTCTTTTTACATTTATCAGCTTATCAAAAAGCTAATTTTACCAAACACTTTCAATCATAACAGCTAGCTTAACAGTTCTTCAGTTTTCAGCTCCGAGCTTATAGCTTTTCAGCTTTCAGTTAGGTTTGCCAAACAGAGCCAAAGTCATTGCCTTTATATAATATTTATTTACATCAAGCTTTGTTTTTATGGATATATAAAAGGAACTAACTACAAAATGAGTAGAAATAGAAATAATACAACAAGGGGTTTAGTGTTTATTTACATTTATGTTTAAATTTATGATTATATGAAACAAATATCATGAACATTGTACATGATAACTAATATTAAACATAGCTTTATTTTTATTAACATACTACAGAGTATTTAAATAGATATCGATAAGATGTACCTAGACTTCAATGTTTACGTTCATTAAAATTTAATTTTATGAAAATATAGAATAAATATTATGAATATAGTACACTATATGAACGTAGGGGTAAGCAAAAAATGAAGATCGATCAAAAAATCGATGACCAATAAGTCAATAACCAAACCCATCGAGAATTTCATTTTTCCGTCGGTTATCGATTTTGGGGCAAAAACAACAAAACTGATCAAAAAACCAAAGAAGAATCCCACACATTTTAACCTAGCCCATTAGTTTTCTGTCGAGTCCTACTCCTTCAAATCATAGTGTAAGTTCTCTCAATCTCCATAGCTACTCAGAAACTGTTCTGGTTCTAGAGTTATGAAATCTTACTGTTTTATGAATTATAATTTATGATTTCATATAGGATTGGGTTAAGAATTCTGCAATTCAGATTTTAGACTAACGCATGAATATAACGCATGATATTATGATTTATGATACCCAAATCTGCAATTCTTACTGTTTTGCTCTCCACAACCCAGCCCAAGCTTTTGGGTAAAATATGATATTATTATTATTTATAATACCCAAATATGCAATTCTGCCGTACCCTATCTGCAAATCTGATCTGCAATTATAGTTTCGGACTAATTTACACTTTGGAGAAGATTGACTAATTTAAAGTTTTTGGACTCAACTAATTTAATTTTTCTGTGATTGGCTGTTTTAACTAGTAATGTGTTTTTAGTGTTTAACATTTTGAGTTTAGACTACATTTTTTAAGAAATTACAAACCGTTAGGTAATTAAGTTTGGTTAAAAATAACCAATTGAAAACGGTTCGATTATGAGAAGTTCTTCGGTTATTTCGATCGGTTATGTGAAGGTCATAAATTTTTTGGTTATTAACCGAAAATCGACAGATGATTATCCCTATATATGAACGTTATTAAATATAATGAACTGGTGATATGTATATTGGACAGAATTACTAAAATTAAGTGAACAAGGAAGCTTACCACAGGACGCTTTGTCGATGGCGAGTAAACTTCAATCCTCGAAACATAGCCAGCCGAATGGTTCCCACTAATCGAACACGCCGGCAACCCTCTCTCCGACGACCGGAGATACGTCATAACGATCCCATCATCCTCGGTTCTGTTCACCGTTTTAAGGAAGAAAACATGCGGCGCTTCGCAAGGATCCTTAGAAGGAAGCCGAGTGTTGAACATATAAAGCGGCAGGTGATTCTGATCGCTTCTCCATCGCCGGAACGTTTCGATCGGCATTTCCAGGTAACTCCGGCGATGAATCTTTTCGTAAATGTGAACGGAATAGCCCCACGACACAGACACCGACCAGTTGCTTTGTCTGCGGTAGCAAATGTTCTGCTGCAACATGCGGGTCTGGTCGTAATTCGCGGTTCTCAGCAAATGCTTCGTAGATTCGAATCTGTCCATGGCCGGAAAGATGGGCTCTACCTTGTCGAGATGATGAAGGGATAGCAGTGGAAATTTGGGATGGGACGACAGAAAACCAGAAAGGTCCCCACGTAAATCAACCTAGTACAATCCGAAAACTTGATCTTAGTAGTGATGGTGAAGCTAACTACCTTCTGATGGCATGCATCATGTTATCATTTCAAATAGAAGGTCAGTCCTATATCAATAAAAACGTATGTAACAAAAGGAAACAAAGTAAATTTCTACTTAATTAATTACTTTATTTGTCCCATGTTTATTATTCATTAATCGTCCTATCTCAAAAAAAAAAACAAAAAAACAAAAAAAAAAAAAAAAAAAAAAAAAACAAAAGGAAACAAAGTAAATTTCTACTTAATTAATTACTTTATTTGTCCCATGTTTATTATTCATTAATCGTCCTATCTCAAAAAAAAACAAAAGGAAACAAAGTAAATTTCTACTTAATAAGTAAATTTCTACTTAATTAATTACTTTATTTGTCCAATGTTTATTATTAATTAATCAAATTAGACAAATAAAATGAAAGGTGGGAGTACTGAAAGACTATGCTATATAACTTGATATGAGGCTCTTGTATATATAGTGGTGCAAACCCATTTTCCATAGACAAAGGCTACAAGTCATTCAATCTTCATTTTTTAACTTAAATGAGTCTATTTTGAGCGTTACGGTCGATCTCTTCGTCCCACTAGAAAGAAAACAAATCCATTCTGACTTGACCTAAACCGAAAGTGGACCAACTAATATTTGTACCAAAAAATAATAACTTTTTTTGTCATTTTATGTTATTTTTCCAACACTAATTACCTGATGAATCCCCTTCAGTATGGAGAGGTTAACTCCAAGATCAGATATGCAAAGCATGGTAATATAATCTGCAGATGTGATGTGTGCATATCTCCTCAAGCAGCTATCCATGTCGTTAGAGAGAGCTTCCGCCAGAGGGTAACTGAGAATGAAACCGGCGCCGCCGAATGCCTGGTTAAACGAGTACCAGTAGTTGCACATCACAAACTCCGATGGACCCCCAAAGTAATAGTACTTTGTGTGATCATATTGCGCCAGAACATCAACCATATTCTCCACGAAGAACACAGAGTCATCGTCTCCCATCACCACCCACCTCACCCCCTCGTGCCTCTCCCTAAACACCTCCATTATCCCATGCACCATGCGCGCCTGGATCGGGGCCGCGTGCTCCGTTTCTTCCACCATCTGGTTTATGTCGTCTGAGACTCTGTACGGCGGGGAAGACGGCGACCAAGGGAGGAGCTCCCCGGTGGGCGGCACGTCGAGATAAAGGAAGCCGCGGGTGACGCCGGGCCGCCACCATGACTCCGTGTAGGCCTTCCTGTAGTGCCATGCCTCCTCGGAGCCGATAAGGCCGAATAGTAGGTGGCTGATGTTGGTGGGAGATTCGTTATTTCTGCTCAACTTCGCCGCCTCCGGCGAAAAGAATGCTCCTCCGGGCTCTGAAAAAATGGGATTTTTGAAGAGAAAAATGGAGGTCAAGTAGAGAACCACACCGGAAATCAGAACGGCCTTACAATTCCAAAGCCCAGCCACACAATACTTGTTAAACCAAGAGCCAATCTTCTTTCTCGTTTTTGGATTACCAGAAGCCCTGTTGATGAAAAGATAACACTTTGAAACTATAATAAATTATTATTATTATATTATTCAAATAAAAATTCAAAACCCATGCAAGAATTAATATAAAATCTAGCTAATATTTGTTGCTTACATTGCAAACAAGCCTCTGGGTATTCTCAAATCGGTGTGCAAGCTACCAAGCCGGATGGCATAATATATATATATATATATATATATATATATATATATATATATATATATATATAAACATATATATAGGCGAGTTCAGGTGCGGCAGTGTCTTACGATGCGACGATTTCTTATGGTGCGGCAACACCAATAGTTCAACAAATATGCACCATCAACGTTAGGAAAATACACCACAAAAAACAGAGTAAACAGAGCCCTGCATCACCAAACATACACCATTAGGTGTGAGTACAAACACCATACACTATTCAGAAAATACACCATTGGGCGTGGTGAGTTGTGTATTTTTTTTGAGTCTGTTGTGTATTCTGTGATGTTTTATTGCATTTCATTGTGGTGTGTTTTTCTAACATTGTTGGTACATATTGTTAACACTGTTGGTGTATTCTGGAATTCCGCCGCACCACCGCACGAGAAGACCTCGCCGCATTTGAACTTTATTTTATATATATATATATATATATATATATATATATATATATATATATATATATATATATATATTCCAGCTTTCTGATTTACTTTTTGATGAATCTCCTTTCATGGGCATCTTCATCTTCTCCATTTGCATATGATAATGTTGACTTGCCAAGATGGTAATAATTAATTATAATTATAATGGTAACAATAATAATAATATTTTCCTCCTTTTATAATTATTATTCTAATTAAGAAATTAAGGAATAAGGAATTAATTAAGGAGACTTCATATTAGTATACATGTATATTACTATATACGCCATTTTCTGTCATTTTATTAGGTTGTTTTTATACTTTTACTATTATCTTATAGTAAATTACAAAATTGTTTAATCACGGGTTAAAAAAACTGAGCATATGATAATGTAAGAATGCATGTACTGGATACAAAATACCATTACAAATTTATTGTTTGACCGTAATCATTATTATCAATGATTTTATAATTTCTTCGTGAATGATGCAAAATACCATTAAAAATTTAAAAGATAAGCATATTGTTACACTGAGTCCATTAAAAAGTTTTAAAATAAAATAAATTACAGTAATATTGGTTACGATAATAAAAAAAAAGTAATAAAATCAAATACATATAACTCCAATCTTTATGTAATTTAGGAATGAAATAACACAAAAGTTGTTTATTACATGATTATTTATGACACAAGTTATTTATAAAATTTTTAGAAATAAGCATGATTATTTACAAAATACATATAATGGGATAATGTTTGAATGCATATACTCGATGTTAAGATTTTAAAAATACAATAAATAGAAAAAACATTAAATAAAGCATTGAACACTAATATTGTAAATAATACCATTACAGAAATTTTTAAATCATGGGTAAAAAAATTGTGCATTATAATGTAAGAATACATGTACTGGATGCAAAATACCATTACAAATTTATTAGTTGACCGTAATCATTATTATCAATGATGGTATACTTTTGTGATTGATGCAAATTAAAATACCATTAAAAATTTAAAAAAATAAGCATATTGTTACACTGAGCCCATTAAAAATTTTAAAAATGAAATAAATTACAGTAATATTAATTACGGTAATAAAAAAGTTAAAAAAAAAAATCAAAGACATATAACTCCAATCTTCCATTCCTATATTACAGTAATTTAGGAATGGAATAACACAAAAGTTATTTATTACATGATTATTTATAACAAAAAAAATTATTTATAAAAATAAGCCTAATTATTTACAGAATGTATATACTGGGATAATGTTTGAATGCATATACAGGATGCTAAGATTGATTAGAAATTTATTATTTGACCGTAATTATTACAATCAAATAATGATTTTATAAGTTTGTAAATGCATGTACTATATTTAAAATACGAATAAAAATGTTAAAAAAACAATAAATGAAAAAAAAGTTAAATTAAACATTGAACACTAAATATTTTAAATAATACCATTAGAAATTTTTTTAATCACGAGTAAAAAAATTGAGCATGATAATGTAAGAATGCATGTACTGGATACAAAATACCAATAACAAATTTATTATTTGATCATAATCATTATTATCAATGATTGTATAATTTCGTGACTGATACAAAATACCATTAAAAAGTTTAAAAATTAAATAAATTACAGTAATATTGGTTACAGTAATAAAATCAAAATCATATAACTCAAATCTCTATTTCCTAAATTACAGTAATTTAGGAATGGAATAACACAAAAGTTATTTATTACATGATTATTTATAACACAAAAGTTATTTATAAAAAATTTAAAAATAAGCATAATTATTTACAGAATACATATACTGGGATAATGTTTGATGCATATACGAGATGTAAAGATTTTAAAAATACAATAAATTGAAAAAAAAATTAAATTAAACATTGAACACTAAATATTATAAATAATACCATTACCGAATTTTTTTAATCACGGTTAAAAAAACTGAGCATTATAATGTAAGAATGCATGTATTGGATGCAAATTACCGTAACAAATTTATTAGTTGACCATAATCATTATTATCAATGATTGTATAATTTTGTGAATGATGCAAAATACAATTAAAATTTTTAAAAATAAGCATATTGTTACACTAATGGCCCGTTTGGTTCACGGAATCAATTTGGAGGGAATATGAATGTTATTCCATAAGGAATGGAATAGGTAAGGAATAGAAGAGAAATTGTTTCTGTTGTTTGGTTCGCTGAAGGAATAGACATTGGGAACTGTATTCCAATGTTTGATTGGTTAAGGAACAGGAATAGAATATATGTATAAAAGGCATAAATGCTCTTGTACGAAAAATATTATAATTATTATCATTATTATTATTATTATTATTATCATTATTATTATTATTATTATTATTATTATTATTATTATTGTTACTAGTAATTCACCCGCGCGATGCACGGGGAAAAATTATGTTATTATAAATATAAATAAAAAAAATAGAAAAAATAAAAATATTTTAAATTATTTAATATAATAATATTTTTGAGCTTCCATTGGTCAAGTATTTATTATTTTTATAGAATACAAAATTATAATTAAAATTTTGTATGGTTAATACAATCTCTAATTATGTACATATTCAAATAAACATATAGAGAGAATTTACATAATTACATTGATTTATTCTTAATTGTATTTCATCTATATTATAATTTTCACAATACGAATAATAACTAAGATAATTACATTTAGAAAGCAAATTTCAAATTTTGTATGAGTAAATTTAAACTCTAATTGAACACATTTTTTTATATGATTATATAATATATTCTTTATGCACATGGCATTCCATAAACTCAAATGTCATTTTATAAGTCCAAGACCACTTTTTGTGGAGATAATTCAAATGTATTTTTTTTTTCTTTTAAAAATCTTAAGTTTAGACATCCAAAAAAACAAGACCCATACGATATATACATTTATATATATTTAAATTTTTATTTATGGCTTAAATAATTTTTTTTAATTATGAAGTCCAATAATTGACCCACGGCCCGCAACATTTGATTTCTTCATCCCTTCTCGCTTCTGCCATTTCTTTGAAGCATTTGAGATGGAGAAAAATTATATGTAGAGGTTTGCATTAATTGCACTGTTTCAGATATTGAACAGGCTTTCATCGAAAATTTAATTAATATTGTAATCACAAGAACCACCATAAATAACAAAAGCATATCAAATAGACTTTCATTGTAAAGCCAGAGATTTAACTAATATTGCATCGTTTCATATTTTCTATTAATCGGGAATCGGAATCCTTAATCCTAATATCATAACATTTAATAACTCCATTAATTCAATAAATTTAATCCTTTGTTATGGGTGAGAAAAAAAAATAGCTATTTTATTTTTCAAATGTTGTGCTTTTTTTTTTTTTTAATTATAGTAAAAGGTGTTGTGGCTATTTTATATTTATAGCTAGTAATAATAATAATGTTGGTAATTAATTGTAACATTAATTATTTCCCAACCATATAACTTTATTATTACTATTATTACTATTATTACTATTATTACTATTATTACTATTATTATTATTATTATTATGCATCAATAATATTTAGAAGAAGCAATGATATGTAAATTATGAAACAAAATAGTCATATAAATAACAAAATTTTTTATAGAACATTTAACAATATTCAGAAGAAGCATAACATATGTTATTTTTAACAAAATACTCAAAATAATCCGAAAGTTACAATGTTCATAAAATATAACTATGAAGAAGAATGATTAATTGATAGCAAGGAATCTTCCGATCCACGGTAGTCTTCGATGAGGATCAAGACTAAGAAAAAAAGCTACTTTATTAGGATGATCAGTGAGCTTAAACGAAACAAGGTCCATTTCATCATTTGCCAAACCATCAACCTCTTTTAATGCACGTTCAAGCTTCTGAAACATATCCATATCACGATCATATTGAAGACCATCGGACAAATTCTTACCAACTTCTGACATTGTATTGCTTATTAGCTTCGCAGCATTAAGCATATTCTCAGCACATATCTCAATAGCTTCATCATGACTTCTCTTTCTCTTACTTGAATTGCTTCTTTTTCTACCATCATTTTGTGGCTCAGGTTGTGTACTCGTTAAATCAATATCATCCAAACCAACAAATGCATTATTTTCCGTGTCAGCTCTTATATCATTCTGTTCTTCAGCTTGTATTTCTTCAACTACATCATCTGCTATCTGTGCATCATTTCCAGTTGCACGATCTTTAGAATATATTGTAGATAACTCATTATAAAACCTAAAGCTTCTTGTTCTAAAATGTGCAACTTCTTTGTGACTCTATAATAAACATAAATTGCCCGCATGGGTAGCTCAACTGGTCATAGAGGTGAAACTTTGGAAGAATGACTAGGGATCGAGTATCACCAGCGGCAGTGTGGGAGCAACCTCTCAAAGTGAGGGGGGCTCCTTGTGCGCAGTGAGCACCGGTCTAGCCTCTTTGGTTCATGTTCAGTTGAGTCACCATGATTTACATCCTCCCAAATGCTCTGTCGGGTCGGGGTAAATTGCATATACACCATGTGCTTTTGGTCATTCCAACTGAACCCACTAGTGTTCTTACCTAGCACCATATCATGAATAATGCCCCATTCTTTTTTCAAAGTTTTAATTCTACTCTCAATATGTGGCTTAGCTTTTATGGTACAATTTGGTATTTTGTCCAAAATCATTCTTTCAAGTTCTAATAAATAACCTGTCTTAAACCCTGTATCGGAATTATATTTTCCTACATTATGCATTTCGGTCAAACATGACACTAATATAATGTCTTCTTCGGGTGTCCACTTTCTTTTTGTTTACTTAACACTTTGAGAGCCGATGGTTGCAGATGTAGGGGAGAAGTCATTCTTAACTACAAATAAATTGAAATAATAAATTATTAATCAAACTCAAACACATTGTTCATAAACCACATTACAAAAAACACCAAATCACAAAATCAAACATCAATGAATATGTCCTTAATATCTAGATGCTCTCCATTCATTGAACATGTCATTTGCTAATTCTGTCTTCCAATTATTCCAAACTTCTGAAGGCTCTATTTGTGTAACATCATCATTTCATGTATGCCGTTACCTTGTACGAATTCATTTTCCATAGGATCAACAGCCATCTCATTTATAATAAAATTATGCAGCAAACAACATGCAAGTATAATCCTGTTATGTATTCTAACAGGATAAAATGAATGACTTCTAAGTATAGCCCATCTCATTTTCAATAACCCAAAACAACGTTCTATGACATTGCGAGCAGCTGCATGTTTCATATTAAAGAACTCTTGAGGAGTTGTCGGTTGATGACCTTGCCGCCATTCATTTAAGTGGTACCTTTGACCTCTAAATGTTGCCAAAAATCCCTCACTATTAGCATATCCTTCGTCAACTAAGTAGTAACAACCTAGAAACATAAGTTTATAATTTAATAAGAATGCATATTATATTACATGATATTAGGAATTTAATATTATAATGCTTACCATTAGGGACCTTAAGTGGATGCCTTCTAGATAATGCATCCCGGAGAACTCTACTGTCTTACAGATCCTTCCCATCCCGGAAGAACATACACAAATTGCATATTAGGTGTACATACACCTAATACATTTTTGCAATTTCACCCTTGCGAGATCGATATCTAGGCTTATCTTCCGATGTCACTTGTATTCTAATGAAAGTTCCATCTAAAGCGCCTAGACAATTCTAGAAACAATATCAAATATTACTAAATATATATTCACATTGTAATTAAACTTATAACTCAAGTGTAGGGGATATGTTTAACTACCTTAAACCATTACCATCTATAATCTGTAGAGTTAGCTAGGACTGGTTCAGGATCTTTGAATAAATGATTTTGGAGTTTCAAAACAGCATTTAATACTATATTAAAGTATCGACTAATAGTTTCCCCCGACCTTTGAAAATTATTTTGAATGATCCTATTTTTCTACGTGATGAGCAATAATATGTAAAAATATTGCTACCTGCTCATCAACAAGCATATTTCTTGTTGGCCTTAACCCTCCTATAGTTTGTAACATTGCACACAACTTCACAAAAGCATGTTGATTCATCCTAAGTTGAGATATGCATTTTTCATCACACGAATACACAGTTCGTAACATATATTCTTGAGACCCTAAAGTGTTAATTATATAAGATTTCACTCGTTTTTTATTAGAACACAAAATTGTCAAGGTTGAAATCATCATTATAAACAATAAACTCACAGAAGCACACATATCCAACCATACACGCAACACAGCTACACATAGTTTCCTTCTTTCAGTACAAGTTATTAAACGCAATCGAGCCATAACTGCAAAATTTAATTTAAAACTTACAATAACTTATACAGATTACAATAACACTACGATAAAAAAAAAAATTTTAAAAAAACAAACAAACAATAACACTACTGTGACAAAAAAGAAAAAGAAAATAGACAATAACACTTTTGCAGCAAAAATAAAAATAAAATATAAAAACAATAAACAATAAATTAAAAAAATAAAAAAAAAATTAAATAATATTGCTGCGGCTGCGGAACCCTCCGCGCCGCAGCATATATATATATATATATATATATATATATATATATATATATATATATATATATGCAGTATACGTATGTATATATTTATATAATTAAATATCAATAATAATTAATTTGTAAAAAATAAAATTCAGAAATTTACCTTTGTTTGAAGCTTTAATTTGATGTTAATATAGATGATAGAAAGAATTGCAGATTGATGCAGAATGGCGAAAGAAATTGTTTGATTGATGCTGATTATGAAAAGAATCGGGGGAAGGAATTGTAGACGGGGGAGAGAACGAAGAGAGAATGATAAAGGTTAAATTTAAAAAAGAAATTTCTATTCCTGAGGGCTCAGGAATAAGTTAATACTAGGGGGGGCCCTGGTAATAGCTATTACCTTATTTGAGGTAATAGGCTATTACTAGGAATGTTAAGGCTGGTAATAGACTTGGTTACCAAACAAAGGAATAGGCCTATTACTGGGAATGCTATGCCATTCCCGACCTATTCCGTGAACCAAACGGGCCGTAAGTCCATTAAAAATTTTAAAAATGGAATAAACTACAGTAATATTATTTATGATAATAAAAAAAAAGTAAAAAAAAAAATCAAAGACATATAACTCCAATCTTCCATTTCTAAATTACAGTAATTTAGGAAAGGAATAACACAAAAGTTAGTTATTACATGATTATTTATAACACAAAAGTCATTTATAAAAATTTTAAAAATAAGCATGATTATTTACAGAATGTATATTGGGATAATGTTTGAATGCATGTACTCGATGCAAAGATTGATTACAAATTTATTATTTGACTGTAATCATTACAGTCAAATAATGATTTTATAATTTTGTAAATGCATGTAATAAATTTAAATTACAATTAAAAATGTTAAAAAATACAATAAATAGAAAAAAGTTAAATTAAACATTGAACACTAAATATTCTAAATAATATCATTACAAATTTTTTTTAATCACGAGTAAAAAAATTGAGCATGATAATGTAATAATGCATGTACTGAATGCAAAATACCATTACAACTTTATTATTTGACCATAATCATTATTATCAATTATTGTATAATTTCATGAATGATGCAAAATACCATTCAAAATTTTAAAAATACAATATCTGAAAAAAAAAAAAAGTAAATTAAGCCTTTAACAATAAATAAAAATAAATAATACTTCCACATATTCTAGAACAGATTCTATGGTTGTTGTGGTATAATTTTCTCGATTGTTCTTGACCTCATATAGTCAAATCAACCGTACCCTTATTGCCCACGCAGTACTGTAGGCGTTTATGGCATTGAGTACAACAAAAGTTGGTGCCATTACATGCAGATTCTTTGATTATGGCTAAAACAATAACAGATACAATGGTGGAGGCACGGTGAATATTTCTTGGAATGAGAATATCTTATATAGTAGTAAGGAAAGTAAAGTAAATAAGGTAATAGAATTATTATTATTATTATTATTATTATTATTATTATTATTATTATTATTATTATTATTAAGATAAGTAATTATGGTGTTTGGCTGTTAGCTTATTATTATAGTAGTAACGTAATAACTTAATAGGATTGTCAGAATATTGGAGAGGATTTAATAATAATAATAATAATAATTCTTATTATTAAGGTAAGTAATTATGGCGTTAGGCTGTTAGCTTATTATTATAGTAGTAACATATAGTAATAGGATTGTCTCATAATGGAGAGGGGTTGCCAGCATATTTTATTGGGGTAACCACTTGAGTTTTACCGTAATCAATTAGCAATGATTTTAAGTAAAATAATTATGAGTCAAAGTTTGACAAATATGCCCCTAAGATTAATTACAAATTTATTATTTGACCGTAATTATTACAGTCAAATAATGATTTTATAATTTTGTAAATGCATGTACTAATTAAAATACGAAAAAAAATGTTAAAAAAATAATAAATGGAAAAAAAAGTTAAATTAAACATTGAACACTTAATATTCTAAATAATACCATTAGAAATTTTTTTAATCACGGGTAAAAAAATTGAGCATGATAATGTAAGAATGCATGTACTGGATACAAAATACCAATTACAAATTTATTATTTGATCGTCATCATTATTATCAATGATTGTATAATTTCGTGACTGATGCAAAATACCATTAAAAATTTTAAAAATGAAATAAATTACAGCAATATTGGTTACGGTAATAAAAAAGTAATAAAATCAAATACATATAACTCCAATCTTTATTTCCTAAATTACAGTAATTTAGGAATGGAATAACACAAAAGTTATTTATTACATGATTATTTATAACACAAAAGTTATTGATAAAAATTTTAAAAATAAGCATGATTATTTATATTATACATATACTTGGATAATGTTTGAATGCATATACTGGATGTAAAGATTTTAAAAATACAATAAATAGAAAAAAAAATTAAACATTGAATTCTAAATATTATAAATAATATTACTGAAATTTTTTTAGTCACGGTTAAAAAAACTGAGCATTATAATTTAAGAATGCATGTATTGGATGCAAAATAACATTAATTTATTAGTTGACCGTAATCATTATTATTATTATTATTATTATTATCATTATTATTATTATTATTATTATTATTAAGGTAAGTAATTATGGCGTTTGGCTGTTAGCTTATTATTATAGTAGTAACGTAATAACGTATAGGATTGCCAGAATATTGGAGAGGATTTAATAATAATAATTATTATTATTAAGGTAAGTAATTATGGCGTTTGACTGTTAGCTTATTATTATTATTATAGTAGTAACGTATAGTAATAGGATTGTCTCATAATGGAGAGGGTTGCCAGCATATTTTCTTGGGATAACCACTGGAGTTTTACCGTAATCAATTAGCAATGATTTTAAGTAAAATAATTATGAGTCAAAGTTTGACAAATATGCCCTTTAGAGGGGGGTGGGGGGGATTTTTCAGGCACTTCTACTTAAAAATAATAATAATAATAATAATAATAATAATAATAATAATAATAATAATAATAATAATAATAATAATAATAATAATAATAATAATAATAATATAGATATAGATTAAGGAATTAAGAAATTAATTGCATAAATTTTAGAATAATTGAGTAATAATTAGTATGTTTTTTTGAATGCTACCGACTCTATTACATTATTATAGTATCTGCTCAAACATACTTTCTCAACCTAATGAAGCACAAAGAGTCAACAACGCCTCCACTAAGGCTCAATCTCATGACCTTCCATATGGAAAATTTCACTACATGCCATTTGAGCACAAGGTGCTTGGCAATAATTAGTATGTTAATCTATACTATTATTAAAAACAAAACCATCCTTTTAAACTTCTCTCCCAAACACTTAATAATCAATATCATTAACGTAAAAATTTAGGTTGAAAAAATGGTAAAAAAAAAAAGAAAATAGAATATAAAACATATTCCTGAGCGTTCAGTAATAGGCTAATACTAGGGGGGCAGTAATAACCATTACCTTATTTGGGGGAATGAGCTATTACTATGAATATTATTCTTGGGAATAGA